TAAATAAAATAATATTAGCAAAACTTTACTAACATAGTATAATAATACAAAAGTTGTAGGAAATATTAAAATCTGCAAATAGCAGGATTATTTCTATTATAGTCTAAAATATATTTTTCTCTGGCTCTTTTTTTTCATCAGTTTATGTTCATTATATTCCATAATGAGTGATATCATGTGATATTTATTTTTCTCCAACTGGCTTATTTCACTTACAAAAGGGTCTGCATATCCATCCATGCTGTTGTAGAAGTATTCCACTGTGTAGATGTACCACTATTTTTGAATCCACTCATCAGTTGATGGGCTCATAGGCTGTTTTAAAATATTAGCTATTGTAAATTATGCTGCTATAAACATAGGGGTCGATATATCCTTTGTAATTGGTGTTTCTGATTTCTTGGGATATATTCCTAGAAGAGGGATTACTGGGTCAAATGGGAGTTACACTTTTAATTTTTTGAGGAAACACCATACTGTTTTCCACAGTGGATGCACCAGTCTGCATTCCCACCAGCAGTGCACAAGGGTTCCTTTTTCTCCCCATCCTCACCAGTACTTATCATTTGTTGATTTGTTGATGATAGCCATTCTGACAAGTGTGAGATGGTACCTCATTGTCGTTTTGATTTGCATCTCTCAGATGATTAGTGACTTTGAGCATGTTTTCATATGTCTCTCGGCCTTCTGTATGTCCTCTTTCAAAAAGTGTCTATTTAGGGCCTTTGCCCATTTCTTAATTGGATTGTTTACCTTCTTTTAGTTAAGTTGTATGAGTTCCCTGTAAATTTTGAAAACTAAACTCTTATTGGAGATAACATTGGCAAATTTGTTCTCCCATGTAGTGGGCTTTCTTATTGTTTTGTTGATGGTTTCTTTTGCTGTGCAGAAGCTTTTTATTTTGATGTAGTCCCATTTGTTTATTTTCTCCTTAGTTTCCATTGCCCTAGGAGATGTATCGGTAAAGATATTGCTGTGACATGTCTGCTATTTTGCTTCCTATGGATTCTTTTAAGATTTTTATGGTTTCCTGTCTTACGTTTAAGTCCTTATCCATTTTGAGTTTATTTTTGTGTATGGTATATCTTGGTGGTCTAGTTTCATTTTTTTTGCAGGTATATGTCCAGTTTTCCCAACACCATTTATTGAAGAGACTGTCTTGACTCCATTGTATGCTCTTACTTCCTTTGTCAAATATTAATTGAGCATAATGGCTTGGGTCAATTTCTGGGTTCTCTGTTCTATTCCATTGGTCTATATGTTTGTTCTTATGCCAGTACCAGGCAGTTTTGAGAACAGTGGCTTTGTAATATAGCTTGATATCTGGTATTGCGATCCCTCCAACTTTTTTCTTCTTTCTCAGGATTGTTGTGGCTATTTGTGGCCTTTTATTTATTCCATATGACTTTTGGAGAATTTATTGTAGATCTGTGATATATGCAATTGGTATTTTAATAGGGATTGCATTGAATCTATAGACTGCTTTTGGTAGTATGGACATTTTAATGATGTCGATACTACCAATCCATGAACACGGTATGTTCTTCCATTTGTTTATGTCTTCCTCTATCTCTTTTATAAATGTCCTGAGTACATTGTTTTCTGAGTACAGGTCTTTTACCTCCTTAGTTAAGTTTATTCCTAGGTATCTTAATTTTTTTGGTGCAATGGTAAATGGGATTTTTCTTTTTTAGTTTCTCTTTCTGTGAGTTGATTATTGGTGTATAAAAGAACCACAGATTTCTGGGTGCTAATTTTGTATCCTGCTACATTGCCGAATTCATTTATTAAGTCTACTAGTTTTTTGATGGAGTCTTTAGTTTTTTTTTTTAATGTATAATAACATGTCTTCTGTGAATAATTACAGTTTTACTTCTTTTCGAATTTGGATGCCTTTTATTTCTTCTTCGTGTCTGATTGCTATGGCTAGCACTTCCAGTACTATGTCAAACAGGAGTGGTGAAAATGGGCATCCCTGTTTTGTTCTGGTTATTAGGAGAAATGGTTTTGGTTTTTGCCCATGGAGTAGGATGTTGGTTGTAGGTTTGTCATATATGGCCTTTATCATATTGTGATATGCTCCCTCTAGTTCCACTTGCTGAGAGTTTTTTCACAAATGGGTATTGGATTTTGCTGAATGCTTTTTCTGCATCTAACAACATGACCATGTGATTTTTGTCTTTCAATTTGTTTATATGATGTGTCACCTTTATTGATTTGGGAATATTGTACCAGCCTTGCATCCCTGGAATAAATCCCACTTGATCATGGTGTATGATCTTTTTAATATATTGCTGGATGAGATTTGCTAATACTTTATTGAGGATTTTAGCATCTATGTTCATCAGGGATATTAGCCTATAATTCTCTTTCTTTGTAGTGTCTTTGTCTGTTTTTGGAATTAGGATAATGCTGGCCTCATAAAAAGAGTTTAGAAGTGTTCCTTCCTGTTGGATTTTCTGAAATAGCTTGAGGAGTATATGTATTAGTTCTCTTTTGAATGTTTGGTAAAACTCCCCTGTGAAGCCATCCAGACCTAAGCTTTTGTTTGGTGGGAGTTTTTTGATTACTGCTTCTATTTCATCAGTTGTTATTGGCTTATTCAGGTTTTCTGATTCCTCCTGATTCAATTTTGGGAGATTATATTTTTCTAGGACTTGGTCTATTTCATCCACATTGTCCAGCTTAGCATATAGTTGTTCATAGTATTTTCTTACAATTCTTGTATTTCTGTGGTGTCCGTGGTTATTTCTCCACCTTTGTTTCTGATTTTATTTATTTGTGTCCTCTCTTTTTTTTTTTTTTTTAATGTATAATAACATGTCTTCTGTGAATAATTACAGTTTTACTTCTTTTCGAATTTGGATGCCTTTTATTTCTTCTTCGTGTCTGATTGCTATGGCTAGCACTTCCAGTACTATGTCAAACAGGAGTGGTGAAAATGGGCATCCCTGTTTTGTTCTGGTTATTAGGAGAAATGGTTTTGGTTTTTTGCCCATGGGTAGGATGTTGGTTGTAGGTTTGTCATATATGGCCTTTATCATATTGTGATATGCTCCCTCTAGTTCCACTTGCTGAGAGTTTTTTCACAAATGGGTATTGGATTTTGCTGAATGCTTTTTCTGCATCTAACAACATGACCATGTGATTTTTGTCTTTCAATTTGTTTATATGATGTGTCACCTTTATTGATTTGGGAATATTGTACCAGCCTTGCATCCCTGGAATAAATCCCACTTGATCATGGTGTATGATCTTTTTAATATATTGCTGGATGAGATTTGCTAATACTTTATTGAGGATTTTAGCATCTATGTTCATCAGGGATATTGGCCTCCAATTCTCTTTCTTTGTAGTGTCTTTGTCTGTTTTTGGAATTAGGATAATGCTGGCCTCATAAAAAGAGTTTAGAAGTGTTCCTTCCTGTTGGATTTTCTGAAATAGCTTGAGGAGTATATGTATTAGTTCTCTTTTGAATGTTTGGTAAAACTCCCCTGTGAAGCCATCCAGACCTAAGCTTTTGTTTGGTGGGAGTTTTTTGATTACTGCTTCTATTTCATCAGTTGTTATTGGCTTATTCAGGTTTTCTGATTCCTCCTGATTCAATTTTGGGAGATTATATTTTTCTAGGACTTGGTCTATTTCATCCACATTGTCCAGCTTAGCATATAGTTGTTCATAGTATTTTCTTACAATTCTTGTATTTCTGTGGTGTCCGTGGTTATTTCTCCACCTTTGTTTCTGATTTTATTTATTTGTGTCCTCTCTTTTTGTTTCTTGATGAATCTGGTTAACGGTTTAACAATTTTGTTTATCCTTTCAAAGAACCAGCTCTTAGTTTCATTGATTTTTTGTATTTATTTTTTTTTTTTAGCCTCTATGTTATTTATTTCTGCTCTGGTCCTTATTATTATTATTTCCTTTCTTCTATGTACTCTGGGCCTTTCTTGTTGTTCTCTTTCTAGTTCTTTAAGTTGTAGGGTTAAATAGTTTATTGCTGATTTTTCTTATTTTTTTGAGGTGTGCCTGTAGTGCTATGAGTTTCCCTCTCAGGACTGCCTTTGCTGTGTCCCAGAGATTTTGGGTTATTGTGTGTTCATTTTCATTTGTTTCCAGGAAGTTTATTATTTCTTTCTTGATCTTGTTGGTAACACATTCATTATTTAATAACATGCTATTGAGCCTCCATGTGTTTCAATGTTTTGGGGTCTTTTTACTGTAGTTGATTTCTAATTTCATTCCACTGGATCTTAGAAGATGCTTGATATGATTTCAATCTTCTTGAACTTGTAGAGACTTGTTTTGCATCCTAACATGTGGTCTGTCTTTGTGAATGATCCATGTGCACCTGAGAAGAATGTATATTCTGCTGCATTGGGGTCATATGTTGTATAACTGTCAATTAAATCCATCTGATCTAGTGTGTCATTTAGAGTCTCTGTTTCCTTGTTAAGTTTTTGTCTGGAAGATCTACCCAGTGACGTTAAAGGGGTGGTAAAGTCCTCTACTATGACTGTATTGTTGTTGGTCTCTCCAGTAAAGTCCTTTAGAAGTTTGTTTTTTGTGTTTTTTTTATATTTAAGTGCACCTATATTGGGTGCATATATGTTTACCAGGGTTATATCCTCTTGTTGGATCGATCCCTTTAGTATCATGTAGTGACCTTTGTTGTCTCTTGTGATGGCCTTCATTTTAAAGTCTATTTTGTTAGATATGAGTATTGCTACTCCAGCGTTTTTTTCTTTTCCATTTTCATGGAAAAATTTTTCCATCCCTTCACTCTCATCCTGTGTGTGTCTTTTGTTTTGAGGTGGGTTTCTTGCAAACAGCATATAATTGGGTCATGTCTTTGTATCCATTCAGCTACCCTACATCTTTTGATTAGAGCATGTAATCCATTTACATTTAGGGTTACTACTGATAGGTCCTTATTTATTGCCATTTTAATTCTGTATTGGAAGGTTTCTCTCTCTGTTTCTTCTTCTCATTATAGCAGTCCCTTTCTCATTTCTTGTAATGCTGGCTTGGTTGTGATGTACTCCTTTAGCCTTTTTTTCCCCTCTGGGAAGTTCTTTATTTGACCATCTATTTTGAATGATAGCTTTACTGGATATAGTAATCTTGGTCTCAGATCCTTACTTTCCATTACCTTAAGTATTTCATGCCATTCCCTTCTGGCCTGTAGACTTTCTGATGGGAAATCAGGTGTCAGCCTTATGGAAACTCCTTTGTAGGTAACAGTTTCCTTTTCTCTTGCTGCCTTTAAGATTCTCTCTTTGTCTTTATTTTTTGGCATTATAATTATGATATGTTTGGGAATGGGCCTGTTTGGGTTCTTCTTGCTTAGGGTTCTCTGTGCCTCCTGAACTTGGGTGACTTTTTCCTTTACCAGTTTAGGAAAGTTTTCTGCCATTATTTCTTAAAACACGTTCTCTATTCTTTTCTCCCTTTCTGCCTCTTCTGGCACACCTGCTATTCTAATATTGTTATGTTTCATGTTGTCCCACAGCTCCCTTAAGCTGTCCTCCTGTTTTTTTAATTGCTTTTTTTCTTTTTGGTTCTCTTATTGAGTGATATTTTCAACTGCCTTTTAATTCACTGATTTGATCCTCAGCTTCCCCTATTGGCAGTGTATTCCTTCCAAAAACTGACAATTTTTAGATACTGAAATAATATTTCATTCCTCCTTTGTTTATATAATCATAGTGCATAATTCATACTTGGATATAAATTTCTATGTCTTAGTTTCTTCTTACAATTAGAATCTGACTTATAGGGTAAATGTGAGGATAAAATGAGGAAATATATGTAAAAAGCAATGTATTTGTTTCATTAGTAATGTGTTTGGTACATAGTAAGGTATCAGAAATTAATAATAAAACATTTTAGCCATTTATTTAATAATTTAAGATAGCCATGTATTAAAGTTGTACACAAATATATGTATATATACTTTTTCACTTCCAACATATTTGTAAATTTTTGCTGGGTAGACAATGGGAAGTTTAACTCTCCCTATCACTCCTAATACATTTATTTGTATGTAATATATGTTAAATGTCTGGGTTGCACTGAATTATAGGTAAAAAAAAAACCTTGAATAATCATGGAGGAATGGAAGGGATAAAATGATAGCAATGAAGCACACTGAAAAATACAATTAATTATCATTTTCATAAAATAAATTATACCAACATATAATCATATCTATTTAAAGAAAGAATGTTTCTGTTTATCAATAATCTCATTTTCTGCAAAAATTCTTACTGTCAGAACAAAACCACTTTAAAATGACTTGCTTATTCATATTGCTTGATTTGTAAAAGCAATAGTTTATTTTCTTTTATTCCTCATAAAGGAATTTTCTTCCTTATAAACTTTTCCTGTAGAGGCCTTAACAGTCTTTTTAAACTCAGACTTAAGAGCTATTATCACTTAAAGTATTTTGAAACCTGAGCTTTGGAAAAGTTGTTTTTTCAGGCTTTCATCACTACTATTTTGAGTAATCATTTGCAGGTTGATCACTGAGCAGTCACATATAACTGGGTCTAATTGTTTAGATCAAACTAATAATTGAATAGAATTCACCCTTCATTGGACAAGTTATGACATGGTAATTGACTTTTGACACTTTGGAAGAAAAGATACATACAGGTAGATTGATTTTGGTCACATTAGCATGTTATGCAAAAATAGCCTGTGTTTCAGTTTCAGATAAACCTCACAAATAAAGCATGGCTGTCATTCACAGCCTCTGATTGGCTTACAGATTTTCTTCTTAATATTAAATTTACTTAATTTATAAGATAGTAACTAGGAAGACAAAATATATCACAGTGGAGACCAAGGACTCAAATTTAAGTCTAAAAGGAAAACTCTGGAGACAGTGGAAAGGATTTTGATTTGTATCTAAGAGTCATTATGTTGCTTCTTATATGTTTTTCTGGTTTGAACTTCATTTTAAGCATGCAATTTATAGAAATGATTGTCACTGAGCTCTCTCTCTCTTTCTCTCTCTCTCTATATATATATTATAATTTTACCATTCATATTCAACAAAACATTTTATATAGTGTATTGTATATAGAAAATAATGCCAGTTTATGACATTTAATTGCCTATAGAATACATCCAGTGCCCCGGAGTCTAATTTGTTTGCATTATGGTCAGGTCATCTACTTTAAAACACAGATTGTATAACTACTGGTAGATTGCATTACACCATTTAAATAAATAGTAGCAATTTGTCAATGTCATCTTAACTTCAACATTTCCTTTGAAACACCAAGAAACAGTAATTCCACTAATCTGACCCCACCATTTTTTAGAATGTGATGACCAAAATATTCTTGTTCTTAATAGATAATGCTTATATGTCTTTTATAAATTCTTATTAAGCATCCTTTTAGAAAGATAAATGAATAAACTTTGGAAAAAATGAAAAGTTTTTTGATAGATGCCAAACTATATTAAATGCTTAAAGGAATGGATTGCAAAGATATTACATAACAATTGGGTTAAAAAACAAATGATTAAAGTTATTTTCATAACGTATATAGCATCACTCTGAAAGGAACTCTAAGCAAGGAGACATTTATCCCACAAATCAAAATGGATTATCTGGCCAAAGGGCTTTTTTTTCTGTTTTCTGTTTATTTTTTTATTGTTTTCTACTATTCTCTATGAATTGTACTGCTGATACCATCAATTGGAATGTCATTGTAGTTATTTGGTTCATTTACTTAGATCATCTAAAATAAAATGCCACTATAAAAGGGTCAGGGAATTAGATATGTTGAGGAGTTCTCTTAAACAAAGAAAACAAATTTAAAAGATGGAGATTCCTTAAACTTGAAAGACAATTGCTGATAAGGAAAGTGATCAAAGTACATAGCACCACAAATTATATAGAGAAGAAGGATAAATTATTTTCCGAACCAAATCTTGCCAAAATAAAATAAATAGGCTTCCTTTGATCCTAGAAAATAAAATATCTAGGGAAAATATAAATATTAATTTACTTAATAGAATAAATTTTATGAGACCCATTGTGTTTAGAAGTAGTCATATACTGAGAATATAATTTACACATATGTTTTAGTTAACTAGTGATTAGGAGTATATGTCAGAAGTGAGAAATCTATAGTTCAATGTCAGGTTTTATTTATTCTTTCAACATGTATTTTTGGACTGTCTTCTATGTGCCAAGCACTTGATAAAGCACAATAATTAAAACATCTGTTATCCACCATCATGGAACTTACTATTCAATAGAGAAAACAGATATTTAACAAAGAGTCTCACAATTAATGAAAATTAAAGTTAAATTACGTTTTTCAAGTGGTTTTAAAAAAATTATGTGTTTATGTTTATGAGAGAGAGTAAAATAGTGGTGATAAATTAGTTCTGGGGTTGAGTTGAGGTAAGGAAAGGCCTCTCAGAGAAAATAATGTTTAAGCAGAAATTTGGAAGATATGTAGAAGTAATTTAAGCTGAGTAGGCAGGGGAAGCACTGTAGACACAGGAAAGTGTGTGTCAAGTGAAAAATAAGTTAGTTTACTTGTGGAGTTGAAAGAAGGCCACTATAAATTGAGGTTAAAGATGGGGAGAGTGAAATGAGAGAAAGATGCAGAAGTGGTCTGGATTAATTTGTATATGCTATTTAATCACATAGGAAGTAAACTCTTTGACATTGGTCTAGGCAATATAGTATTGGATATCTCCTCAAGCAAGAAGGGCAACAACAACAACAACAAAAAATAAGATTATATCAAACAAAAAAGTTTTTGCAGGGAGGAAAGCCATCAACAAAATAAAAATACTACTTACTGAATGAAATAATATATTTACAAATGGTGTGTCCAATAAAAGGTTAATATCCAAAATACATAAGAAACACATAGTTTAACACCAAAAATATCTAATTAAAAATGTGCGCAGAGCCCAGCTGGTGTGGCTCAGTGATTAAATGTTGACCCATGAACCAAGAAATCTCCTGTTCTATTCCTGGTCAGGGCACATT